AGAATCTCGAGATCTTCGGAACTCGGTATCCAGAAAAGATCTTGCTGGATTTTCTAAGGAAATTTCTAGGAATTTTTCTCTCTCGTATATGGGCAATCAATGTGCATCCAAGAAATGTGTCTGTACAAACGCGAACCAAAGAATCTCAGTATCTTCGAAACTTGGTATCCAGAAAAGTTCTTGCCGATTTTTTTTAGGGATTTCCTAGAGATATTTCCTTAAAAGTGGAAAGTTATCACTGCTAGTCTCTTTCCAACTGCGATCAGTTAATTAAATCACAGAGCATTAAAAAAGAAAAAAGGAAAAACAGCCAGAATTAGTGAACAGGAAAAAAGTTTTGTTTCTTCGGGTAGCAAATGATCTCATATATGATAGTTAACCATGTCTTATTCACCGTATTTGCCAGATTTCTCACCAATGGATCTTCATTTTGGTTTTGAATTGAGATAACCATACGAGAAACGAATAATTCCACAGACAGTGATCTGGAAGAGGAAGTGTCGCAATTTTTCGGCAATAAAACAAAAAATCTTTATATTTGGCAATGGAACATTCTAATTATCACAAATAAAGAATATTACAATTATAATAAATAAATTATCAAACCGTTGGGTTTAATAATTTTAGCGGTCTTTATTAGTAATTATAACGAATAAATTCGTTTCGAACGTCACGGACACGTGTATCTTCAACTTCTCATTTGAAAAGCAGCAAAGACTTTTCTGAACGCCATTATACAGGGTGTTTTGTAACTTGTGGCAGCTGATTGTACGCCTAAAAATAATGAAAAAAAGTGTCCTCTTCATTTCATGAGATGTAATGAATTTTCTGTTTTAATTACTTTTACAAAAGATGCTCGAAATGACCACCTTGCACTTGAAAAACCTGCACGCGTCTTGTCATTCATCTGGTTACTCTCTCTATCGTTCATGGTGTTTCTCGAATTTGTCGGAAGCCTTGCTCTATTCTATTTCGTAGTATTTCAGCATGTTCAATCGATGTTGCGTATACA